TAGCTCTATTGTACTAAAAAACACATCACACATGTTTTGCCTTGGCATTAGTATTCAATCAAAACCCAGGTAGACAAAACATGTTTCGAACTCTTGACTCTAGTGAAAAGTTAACTGCCAAACCCAACAGACCACAGCTCCATCATAATGTATGGACCTACTTATGATTATTGAATCACATTTTTGTTCAATTCTCTGTTCACTTGGTAATCCCTAGCATATAGTCTGAATAAACTAGACGCAAAGCATTTTCCTCACTAGTTGGTACAAGAGTCGCTTTACTTTTGACTACCATGTAATTTGGTATTGATGTGATACGATTATAATGATGGTGTAAAATGTTGTTTTTGTTTCTCAGATGCTTGACAATTTACCACAAGTCCCCTCTAGCTCGAACGGATTAGACCCTACACCTATTCAGCACCAAAGGTAACTTATTAAATTTGTCTCTGATTGAGCTTTTATTTGTTATCACAATCAACGTGGCTGAATTCCATTGGTCATAGTATAAAAACACACTTTTTTTTACCATTAATGATGTGATTTTAATAAAATTGGGTTTTAAATGCAGACAAGTTTAACTGTTTGTAAAGTACATACTTCAACCATAATCACTAATTATGAATTAGATATAATTAGATTTAACAAGGGAATATTTCTTGAGATCAGTTTATCATCATGGCTTCTCGCTAGTTTACATACAAGATGTTCAGGATAAACCTTACAGTTTTATTCGAAGGGAAAATGTAACAATCTCGGTAAAAAATAAATTTATTCGAAAAATATCAGCATGAGGGCGGTCAAAAGAGACTCAAACAAGGAGGCTACTTTTAAAATCCCCTGCATCATCTATCCGCCTCCCAGAGCTAACATGTGTGGCGTTTACGACACCCACAAGGTAGGCATTGATTACACCTTTGGTCAATTGGGTCTTTGTGTTACAAGCAATGCAGTTGGTGATTTCCTCAATCACGTCTCAGGCATATTCTATGAGATTACAACCAAGAGGGTTACAGGGCCAAACATCAGGTGTCGTGAAGAAACAAAAATCTCCAGTCGACCATTTCTCAGTCTTTTTTATGTGTGACTTTCCCGAATCATTGTACTACACATACCTTCCAGTGGACACCAACCATGGCTTTCGGACTCCATAAGGCGGTAAGAGTTTAGCCTAAGACCCTCTCTAGAAAAATGGCCTGACCTAACACTGCCCTCACTACAAACGCCTAAAAACTTACAATTTACAGGGGCTTCATCTTCATAATGTGGAAATTTTGTTTGGATTGTAAGGGCTTCATCTGTTTTAAGAGTTAGGAAACTGATTCTGAAAAAGACTTTCCATCATGAAGAACGAGATTGTCATTGATTTAACAGAATGCTTTACTTTATCCAAGAGCTTCTTTACCTTTTACAGACCTTTCTCAAGAGTATTCGGTATGAAGTTTACCTTGGGGATTCTATTATGAGTGGTAGTGGAGTTCTTCATTCAAGGTGGGGTTAATAGTGGAAACTGAAACATCTATTTCTCGTGCTAAAGCTTGTATTTTGTTTTCAAGGTCTTTTGTCACTTTCAGTTATTAAATGAATTCTAGTGTATAGAGGTAATCAGAATATCTGCTATATTCTACTGTGTTCAAAGGACATCCAGCAATAAGTGATCGAGGATAGATTCTCTCCGCAGCTGGTTTTAATCTCGAACCCACATCAGTTAGTTATGAACTCGCAAGGAATTATGTAGAGCTTATAAATGAAGGACAAATTACTTCTTAGAAACATACTGTTCTCATTATGTAATTCGAAAGTTTCTTAACAAGACTTTGGTCTCTGATTAGATAGCAGAAAAATCCTCTTTTGCTCTTAGTACTAAATATACCTTTAGTAACAGAATTTCTGGTAACTAACACTCAGATACCTTCTGACGTCAGGCATAATAAGAATGATAAAGGGCAGTGAAACAATACACCTTACTGAAGTTACTGAGCTACATCCATAGGAAAAGTCTTTTGTTTTATGAAATTTATAACAATTTTTCATATATACAACTATTTTATAATCTATTGAGAGATTAAATCAGTAAGGCTTTAAAATCCCTCTTAAAGTATCATCTCTTTTAAATGAAAATGGTGTTGTACACAACCTTGTTGAGTATTGGTGGTTTAAAGTGATGAAAGATCCTTATGCAACACTGTTATCTTGCTACTTCTGTCTTTGTTTTCTATTAGATAAAGGGTGTAAAATAGGATATGTCTTCTATCCTTTTTTGATGAATGAATCTTATAAGGTTCTTAGGCTAAGCATTAGGAATTTTTATCATAAAAAAAGTCTTAGGTGGAAAAGCCAAATGATTTTTTGAAACGATTGTCTGTAGTTTTCAGTACCAGTTTTTGCAATATGCACGTAAATATTGTCCACTTGATAAAATAATTATTACAAAAGATTAAATTCTCTTGTTGCACAAACCGTTATTTCCGTTCTGTATTCCTGTTTACCATTTTCTAGTTCATATTTCATCATGAACTACTTCAAAACACTAATGTTTATTTTACTCTACACTCGGCAAAACTATCCGATTTCCACACACACACTAGTGGTCATGAAGTTATTTTCCCACTGTTCATACTGTCTTTGAATATATTCGCGAGGTTCAGGCGACATAGTGTTCGAGACGATGATTTTGACAATGTTATTTTTTCCCATATAAATGGATCAGTTGAAAATACGTATAGTTTTTTTAAAACCTCAAATGCTTAATTCATCTTCGTCATTTTTCGATCCAGAAAAGCATAATGGTATGCTAGAATTTAGAAAAGCAAGATTTCTAATGACCAAGAAAAGCAGTGGTGTATAGAGATATTTTAGAAATTTAGTATTCATCAGTAATTAATAATAAATATGAGTATTATTTGTCAAGATGGTTTAAGCAAACCCATTGGTAAGAGTATCAGTAAAATGGATTACCTAGTGTAGTATTTCTGTGATTCGTACAATTTGTGACAAACAGTAAATTAAGGAAGATTTAGTAGATATCTTACGTGGAGTTAACGAACTAATTATTTTTAAACAAAGATTACAATACATATCAGAGGTTAAAATTTAATTTTTATACACTATAATACCTTACCTAGCAAATATATTCTGTGACGAACAGGTTGTTAGAGTTAACCTAATCAAGAACTTGCATTCTTAACATGTCCTTAACTTTAAAAGTTGTACAGTTTTTTTTTGTATTCGCTACTGTGTTTTTGTTGTTGTTGCGTAAGTAACTTGTTGAAATAACCTGTGCTGAGAATTCTATATTGTACCAAAACTATAATATTGAATAAAGCCATTAGTAATAATAATAATAATAATAATAATAAGCAACATTTTACAACGATTCGTTCCATAACTTAAGGGATAAATCAAAATGTTTCTGACGTTTTCGCCATAAATTACTGCTACACATAATGTCAATTGGAAATAATTCTCAGTCCATAAACCGTGAGCTTTGAGATACGTGTTGTCAAACCAAATTATCAAAAATCAGTTCTGTAATCTGAAATTTACTGAAATCTGTGTTTCTTTTTCTAAAGAATATCAAATGTCTGAGAGCTAATCAAAATCCATTTTAATTCAGCTCATAATATGATTTAATTGTATAAACAAGTCAACTAAAAATCCTTTTTACTACACCATCCTACAATATGCTACAAGTTTTGCGAATAAGTCTGTAATATGTAGACAAAATAAATAATTATTTTAAAAGACATTTTTGTATGATAAGTAAATAAAGTTTTCTCACAGCTATAATACCTTCTAGTAGGACCATATATTAAGCATCAATGAGACTAAATAAACAACAGAGATGCATTATCCAATAACGTCTAGAAATACTAGAATGTTTAAATAATTAGATGTCTAAAGAAGGAAAAAATGGCGAGTAATAAAATATTCGAAATCTAGAGAAATCCAGAGAATGAACTCATCTAAAACACTATTGTGATTTATTCTGGATCATGTCGTATGGAGTCACTAAGCACTAAATCCTATCATATCACAGATACTATCCCGTCCCAGGAAGTTCATTGGTTTCCTCACATAATTCGTTAATGTTTGGTGACTTTATAAACTGGTGATATATTTTGGTCTGGCTATCCTAAACATCTTTCCTAAATTGGATCTCATTTAGTCGAAACCGCATTCCGGTTTAGACAGTTGCTTGTCATATGTAGTACATAGTCCAACTATCGCAGTGCAAGTTTACAAAATTACTGACTTACTAAACCTCTTCTAGAACTTCACACCAGTTGTCAACAATATTTAGTCAATTATTCCACCACAAACGAAAGATACTTCTAAGAACTCCGTTGTTGAATGGATGTAATGTAATCATATCTTTCACTGTTAAAGTGCGTCTTACAATAGCAAAGTAACATTGTAATAGTGTTAGTATACTCACTTTCAAACTACTGTGAAGATTTCAAAGATTATTTCATTAGCGTTAGTATAAATATTCACTTAAGCAAAGTAATATACATCCCTAACTTATTGTCCATTCTAAACTGTATTTTAGAGTAAATCATTCATGGAACATCATTTGGCATATAAAATTTCCAAAGCATATGTTAATAGCTTTACTTCGATGTTTGGGACATGTATTACGCATGCCCAACCAGCGCTCACCTCGAAGGGCGATGTTTTCTTGTGCAGAAGGCGGGAAGAAAACTAGGGGCGGCCAAACTAAAACAGCATTGGTCTATGGAGTTACTGACAATTGGACTTAGCCATGTTAGTAGGTACAGACTAACTGGTTGGGGTCCACCTAATTATCGTAACAAATAGTTAGAGGCTTTGAATGACATAACTAAAATTCATTTGCAATCGCGTCGGTGCATCCATTTTTTGTCTTCTTCCAAATTCTGTGATTCTAAATACCTCACAAGTTTTTTAAGTGTTTTTATTTCGCTAATTTATACGTTCTTTTCGAGTTGTGTCTTCGATACCTAATGTTTCCTATTACCACTGATACTGTTACTACCTCTACCATTCTGGTATTTGGCCTGATGAATTCGTCTCTTTGTGCTAATGGGGCATGGCAACTTGACCTAATGTACATATGTTTAGGTTCTACGTTATGACTGACTGATTGAGTTTTATTTATTCACTCAACGTGTCTAAATAGTCTTAGGTCTTATTATAGTCTTTTTTCATACAACTACGTATCATGTACACTATGTTGATCAGTAGATCTTCAGGGTAGAGATCAATCTTGGGAGTCATTGCAAAACAAATTCGGACAGAAATTATAACTGGACATTACTGATGAACGCCACACATAGTCGTCACCATGAATGACAGTTCTTTATAAGACTTTAAATAACTGTTAGTCCAAAGAGTATTTTCACCCCGATTATATATATGATCAGGTACTCCCATATTGACTTTAGTTAACGTAGTCATTAATTATTGGAAGCTGACACTAGGTTTCCAGCTGTGATGTCTCTCCCGTAAGGTTCCAAGATTCCAACTTTCATATTTTTATGACTTACTCAAAGGGATTTTCTTCCTTCCCCATTATCTGTACATTTGGTTAAATTGGGCTTTATTGTGTGTACTTTCTTTAATGTGTTATGTCCTAATGTTTTGTGGTAAAGATGTATGTTAGACATCTAAAAGTCCTGTATCTAAATATATTTATTCTGTATTCAGCGATCTTTTATTCATACAACTTGGTTATTGTTGACAAACTTGTGCAATAAGTAACAGATTCTCCAAGCGCTTTTCTAGTTGTATCGTTCAAGTTAATGAGGAAAAGAAAATGCTTCTGGAGTAGTTTGCATCATCAAAGTGTATATTAGTTCAGGTTCACTCTGTCACAGAAATTAGGGACTTAAAAGTTGCACCGAAGTATGTGCTCAAAGTTGTTCCATAGAGACTGTTAATTATCGGCACTCGCAATTCATCGACTAAGATCCTAATGAATACAGACATTTATAGATTCCTCATCCAGATTTGCATGTAACTTAAATGAATTGGCTGCTCTTCTGTGATTTTAAGTTATTTTAGACCGCTGTAATTTTTTTTATTTTCGCTCTAACGATTAATGTTAATGCTATTTGTAGTCTAATTGTCTTAAGTGACTTTTCCATTGTGAAAGCAGGAATGGTTAGAGCGCTGGGAAATTTCTTGAATACTAGATCAATCTAATGGTTGTATCTAGTTACTGCCTAATTACGAACAGCAGGAATTCAATGGTCCATAAATACATTTGTTTCAAATAAAACGATTGATTTTAACTTCCATCTCATCTTCGGTAAAAACAACTGGTCGTGCAAATATGATCTGCAACTTAGTTTATGAAGTTTTAGACTGTTGGTGCGTTATTGCTATGTATATATACTACTTATTATTTATTTTTGAACCTATTTTTATTATAATTCAATTTCGAGAAATGAAATGTGCGGCAAATAGAAACAGGCCGGAAACTTTTCGCTAGTTTTTGTAAAGTTCTTTTACTAATTCGGAATTTATAGGAATTTACAGATTTATTTATTATTTATTTATTTCAACACGGATATTGGTACAAGGAGGCACCAAATACTGCCCGGGTGCCCAAACCGAAGCAGGTGGTTTTCTTAGGGGGCCACTCCCCGAGCCTTCGACCTGAAGGTCTGATCCACAAGGCAGTGGAGCATCGTAAGGAGATGCAGTCCCATGGAAGCCGGTGACCAACAATTGGTTCATACGCCATTTGTTCCCGCAGGATACTGGAGCCCATGTGCACCATTGGTTTGGAATCCGGTTAAAGCACCGGACATTCGCTTTTCATCCTCTCATTTTCGTAAACAACACCCCCGCCACGAGAAGGCAGTGAGTAGGACTTCCCTGGCAGAGGCTATACACGCGTGGCCATGTGAGAGCATTTCGAGAGGGAGAGCGGACTCTCCCCACTCTCGGTCGTACCAGGGTATTTGGGGGCAAGCTACGAATATAACATTTTGATCAACAGTCATAATAACTTACGAATCGAATCTAAGACAAGATTATATATATAATTGACAACTGAGTAATAACCAATATCCTATTGTCTAGTCTTTTTGTGCTAATTTATATCAATCAAGTTGCAGCGTGACCCATTAATTTGTGGCTTGACACCTTAGGACACTGTTCTGATAAACAGCTTATTACCACTTTTAAAAATTTATCAGGAAAAAAGTCCAAATCTGTGGGTGTCTGTCCTCCTAGTTTGTTCGCGGTCTCTGAAAGTGTTGGAAATCACAAGGGTGACTAACTAGTCTTTCTCTTGACCAAGACATGAGTTTTCCGTGTTTGTTTGCTTTCACTCTTCACAAAGTCACTGAAAAAAAACATTTGAAGACTAATTAGTTCGAGTTTGTGGTTACAAGCTACTAAATGACCATAGTTTCCCTAACAACAGGTTGAATGAAACTTTATCATACATTGGAGTGTGAATCGCTGATATATGCACCTAACTCCTCTATGAATAGACATTTAATAACCTTATCTCTTAAAGAGGCATGTTTCTTGAGACTCTCCACGTGAATACTCACATGTGTTTAAACCAGTACATGGTCGTTGTTTAATCAAATACTCCAATACTGTAGTAGGGTCGATACTAGGAATAATTCGTTCTCATTTTCAAAATATTTTAATATCCCCCACATTTCGTTAATCATTTTAGAATAATTCCAAGTAAATTGAGCATTGGTTAGATTGTTATAAATGAAAACAATATATTTGTAATATCCCAATGAGTAGAAGAATTACACTTTTCTGACGTTTCGTAACTCAGTATAAGCTACCTCTTCAGGGAACAACTAAACAAATAAAATTAACCCAGGTTTAAATAGTACAAAGGAACGAAACAAGAATATTTGGTGCGATCAATGAAGAAAATAGGTCTGACCAAGTCGATGTCGTCATTCCGGTCAACGTGATTCATATGAGGCATGTTTGTGTATGTATGTTAAAGGATAAAAAATGTGACATTTGTCGTACGAAAGGATAGAGTTGAACTTTTCTACTCATTGGGATATTACAAATATATTATTTTCATGTCAGAATAATTATTTTCATTACCTGTGAATGAAACGAATTTCTGTTAGTGTTAACCTACTTCCTTTTTTTATCAACTACAGTAATGATAACACTATCACATACATAATAGAAAGCTTAATCTTCTCTTGATTATATTATCCAAAAATACCCATTTTATATCAACCTATGTACTTAATCTGTCTTGCTTCCATATGGCTTATACTGTTTCTTTTCTGCATTTTCATCATACTCAGGAGCTCACTACCGTTGGTGTTTTGGGCGTTCTAGATCGTCCTGACTTACCAAATAGCTGCTTACATAAAGTTGTATCTAACACGGCCGGTTTGAACCAAGCGTTCCATTTTTTCTGGTCAATTATAATTACACAATTATCCGTCAATAGCCTAAGAAAATGTTCGGAAGTTTTTTGAAGACCGTCACATCGGATGGTCAAAAACTGTTATAAGAATGAAGAAAACAACTGCATCTGGGGTTTTTTAGAAGCTATTTTAGTTCTCTCATGTCATCAATAAAAAAAGTTTCACGTCAGAAAACCAATCCTAGAACACTCGGGTTAACATTTTGAAAGTGAATTCAGTTGGTGTGGTACTCCAGCAGCTTCGACTTCAAATTGTGTCCTATGATTCATAAATATACACACCGAAAAGTAAAGATTTATTAGAAATTTAAATCACCAAGGAATAAATTCAGCATTCTTGTCTAGAAGGAATATAACAGACTGAAATTACTGAGTCACTCCAAAACAAAATAGTCATTGTACCTATCGCTAAAGCATCATACGTAGTGTATGTGAAATTCGTCCAATATAAATTTAGTACCTGTCCCGTCTAAAATAATAGCTGCAATCAAAGTGGAGGCAATATACTAAACAAGTGAGAAATTGGCCATCAACGAGCAGATTTATCTTCAGGTTGTGGATGAATGGTTCAAGTGTCCAACCTCAACTATATGTCTTAATAATCACACATTTTATGTTAATAGTTTTGTAGGTCCTGATATTATTAGGGATTTTTTTATTCGTCAGATGAAACTGCTCTGGAAAGATGACTTTTAACATGTTCTTTAGCATCTCAAAGCCTTATAGAGGAAAGTAAGCTCCCAACCTCACTCCGAATGATGAAACACAATGAATATTCTCTGTCTTCAAATTGATCAAGGGTCTAGACAATGTTGCCTAGTTTCATCATTTCCTCTGTAACTATTGCACGTATAGCGTATGAGATTAGTATTATATCTACAACTTATGAAAACACTAAAACTTCAGCTTGTTGACTATATTATCTTACTGTGCGGTCCCACAAGCCTTGCAAATCGGTAAATAATCTGACGTTTCCTGGACTACATAAAGTCACATCGATCTGAATATATCTATATTAATCAAGTAGTTGTATGCTTAATGTCCTTGGTCAAATCGTGGGACTGACACAAGTAAGAGGTATGTAACCTAACCATATCTTATATCGCACTCCATCCTGTTACTTCCGTAAGTCAGTTGCATTGGAAAAAGTGTACTGGGTCACTCAAGTGGTGTATTCTCATTTTCTACTCATAGTCAAGTTCTAAATTTCATGTTAGTTATTTCATAATCAGTGTTTATTGGTATAGTATCTTCATTGCACCTTTCAGGTGTAAAGTAATTTCATAAGATTAATAGAAGTTCATGTTCGTATTAAATCATACGATAGAACTGTCTTTGCATTTATTAGCTATATATTAATGGTGGCATGACAGACAAAACAAATCTCTATACAACGAAAGTAAGGAAGTTTCATATCATTTTTGAAGTAATCGTACCAATGATAATCGGCTGTGCAACTCTTCAATGAGAGAAGCTATATTACACATCTATGAAACCTGATGTCCACAAGCTAACGGTGCAGACTTCTTTTGGGCTCAGGGCAGACCGCTTTTTAGTGATTACGATTTCTATTTGAGTAATCCAGATACCCTTAACGTATGGTATCTCACGGACTGAATAAAGCAGAGAAACAGTCCATAAGATGGTGCTGTGAGACTAAAGATAACTTCGTCAGATTAACATCTTTCGACTTATCAGAACCCCGAGATTACACATCTGTGATGTAATAGGACTCAAAGTTAAAGTTCATGACAGTTCAACTTCGTACTTTAGTCTTCAGCATCAATAGTAAATTGAAATTTGAAGTGAACTAAATCCTTATCTCACTACTGCTCATCATGATTTTTTCGTTCTGTATAATGGTTACTTCATTAAAATGCTACCATATTTGCATGTTTCATTTTTTTTTTCTTTGATTAGTCATATTTTTTCTAGATATTTCGCATATGAATGATAACTTTAGTTTTACAATAGGAATCTAGTCAACTGTCTATTAGTTGTATTCTGAAACTTATTCAGTTAGTATTTGGAAGGATCATTCTCATAAGCAACATGGTCGTTTATTCAGTCACCTTTGTCATTCCATTAGTTTATCAATCAGTTTTTATGTTTTCTGGGCGACCCTACAAGACATGACTCAAAATCAATTACAATAGTGATTTGCGTGGATTTTTCTAGATCTCGAATATTTTATTACTCATTTTTCTCTTCTTTAGATACCTAATCGTTTTAACATAAGTACCTCTGGACGTTATTAGATAATGTTTTTGTGTGACAGCGTATCTATCTGGTGGCCCATTGGAAGGAATTATAAATGCAAAGCAATTAGTAATTATCTTAGGTCTATTTGCTGTGTTTGTTTTTTGTCATTTTTAAAAAATTAGTTATATGGTCTGTTTATTCAAATCATACGTATTTTTAAAAAAACAAGTAAATTTAAATGAACACTTTCATTCATGTACTTGTATAGTTACATTATTGTTAGTTAAGAAAATTACATCTGTAGATTATTATACTGGATTGAAAAGCTTTCATGTTAATTAACTAATCTAATGTACAGAATAATCCATCATTATATTACTATTAAGTGTCACAAACAAAATAACCGTCAAAACTAGAATAGACTGCTGCACTACTTTTTTTGGTCATTGAAATAAATATTCACCATTTTGATGTATTTACCGTTTTTTATCTGCTCTATATTACATTCTTCCTTATGGTTTAGATCTCATCATCAGTTAGTAAATGGCTATACTACTGTGATTACAACTGATAATATTCAACCTCCAAACGGATCTGATTCACACACGGAATTTAACATCTCTAGTGCGCCTAGAGTGCCAGCAAATCAACATGATAGGGATTTCTGGTCAGCTTTAATAGGATCTCTATTTGGATCCCATAAATTTTCATCTACAAGGAATACTTTAGCAACTGTTGACTCAACTTCTAGAGGTCAAGATGCAGAATTACCTGACAGGCAACGCCCTTTAAATGATTGGACTGAAGTCGATGGTTTCTGGGAACCTAACAATCTATCTGCTTCCTCTTCACTGTCAAATTCTAATGTTAATTCCCAAAATACTCAAATTGATTTGTCGTTACCACCAGGTTGGGGTGAGTAATTCTTACTTTTTCTCATTTGCTGTTAATCAGAGATACACCACTTCGCTTTTAAGTTTTTAGCCTTCCAATTAATCTTTAAGTAGAATTTTGACAAGGTAATTCTATCAGAAACTTTAGCTGATCATCTAATAGAGTGATCTTCAGTTACCTTTAGATTTTTGTCAGTTATGTCCAAAAATTATTGTCTCATTTTATAGAAATTAAGTGCTTTATTCCCTGAATACTGATAAGTTAACAATTGATTCAGTCTTTTAATGTTCATGTAGTTAAGTGAAATTAATAAACAGCATAGATTCTCTCTTAATGAGGTGTTTACTTATTAAGATTCTACTCCTTACTTAATTTTCTCACGTTACGACGTTGTACTTTGATCATTTATTATTAATAGTTGATAATAAACCCACTAACATTCACTGTAGCGTTAAAACACTACTGTGTTTACTATTCTAAACTTGCACAACGTTTAGTCCTTTGATTGTACGCGGTAATTGGATTTAGATTCACAACTGTTAGTGTCGGAAAATGAATTGAATATTTTATCTTTTTACTACAACAATTTTCTTCTATAATTAAGGTTTCAAAAAGTATATTCATGTTAATCATGTTAAAGTGATACTTTGAGCACGACTTGTGATACTAAAATATTGATCATTTAAATCTACTTAAGAGCGATTATTTTGAATATCTCTAATCCTGTGATTTGTTAATCTATTGTGTAGATGCGTTATTGAAACCGCACTTGATTATATTTTGCTACTCATTGTGGCTCTTAATAGTGTATGAAATATGTGTTGCTTGAATATTTCATGGTCTCAATACACTTGGTAATTTAATTGAATACATTCCAGTAACTTCCTGGTGATATCAATGATGACCTGCTTCGGTTTGGGCACCCGGACAGTATCCTAGCCCTCACACAAATCGAATGACAAAGTCTGGTGCATATATATTTGGTACCTCCTTGTACCAATGTTTATGTTTATATGTAGAATCTATAACGACACATTTCAGTTTGTCACCTAGTACTTCAAATAAATTGTTCGTCTTTCTTTGGCTTATTACTTACGTTGTATACAATCAAAATTCATATGTTTTCAGATATAAGTAATCAGCGTTTGATTAGATTTTCAACATAAAATTAAAAACAATTCTGACTTGCCCTTCATGTGTAAAAGCTTTAATTACTCTCAAATTGCATCTAAATAGGTATAAAACCGAATTGTGTATTATAGATTTATAAGAAGTGACTGTTCTCACTTTATGTAAAGTAGTCAGCCTTTAGTGTTTATTAATGGTTAATATTTTAAGAGTCAAATCTCATCTCCATGTTTTTCCATAGTTAATTTATTATTTCTACCTTTCTAAATGTAGAAAGACGTTTTGACAAGTCAACTCAGAAATATTATTTTATCAACCATAAATGTAAAATCACTCAATGGGAGGATCCACGTGAACGTGGAATGGATGAAACCCAACCTCTCCCGCCTGGATGGGAGAAACGTTATACCGCCCAAGGACAAAGGTTTTTCATTGATCATAATACCCATACTACTACCCTTGTTGATCCACGTACTGGACAACATGCTGGGTAAGGAATATCATATTCGCCTATTTTATAATATCTGTTTATCAAAAATCTCTCAATACTTCCCCAGAAGCACTCCTTTTGTTCGGATTGTAGATGAAAACGAGAAAAATTCAGTTCACGATATTTATCGTATTATTAATAAGGGTCTGTATTATATTGTCAAAATTGACGACTGAATTTCGGTTAACTTGATGTACATATCATAATAAAGACTTAAATTTAGTCCTATATATTAACAATGGAATAATGCAAACCCTCACAAGTAATGATATAAATATCATACGTGTTGAACAAGCTAGTGATTATCTGGGCTCGGCGCATAACACGTTTTGGGTCTAAAACTAAAGGTACTGTGTTCAAATTTCGGAGTGAACATCAACATCAAGATGTAGATACAACCAGCGGATGAGCCTCAAATGGGACGATACTAGTTTCCACTGCTAGTGTTCCGTAAATTCTAAACCATTTTATTTATTACTTATTGATGTTGCTCGTCCTTAGTATTTATCTGTATTCCTTTTTCATAAATCTTTAAAAGAATATTTTTTTAAGGACAGGGGTGGCCATCATTATAACTTTGTTTTAATAATCTCCTATTAAGAATTTATCAGGAATTCATTTACCAATTTTAAAAAAAGCTTGATGATAGTAGTGGTTTAAAAAAAATCTTCAGAACTAGATCTCTTGTACATTAATGAAGACCCACAGCATAGCTTTGGATCATGTCTATTGGTCATGTAGATTAGAAACTTATGGTGGTTGACAACAAACCAAATAAACAATAACTCAATATCATGCTTTATTTAACTGTATTTATGTTTGTCAAAGTAATGTATACAAATGAATTAGTTTCAAGTAAATATAATATTTATGTCTTTTTGAAAGTTCGGCATTATTAAACTGGACGAAGCAAGCCTAGTCTTCCTATCGACATTTTGTTTTCCAAAATACTTCAGACTACTTGCGAGTAGTACCACAACACCTGATGTGTGTAAAAATTTCGATTTTATTTCTAAAAGAAATTAGAATCTTTTCATTTTATTCCTTTATTTCCTATAGTTCATTGGGTAGTATGGGAGTCCCATTGCAATATGAAAGAAATTTTCGATCCAAAGTCAATTATTTTCGTGCTTGTTGTACAAATGCCATGTTAAATGGGCAGACTAAACTTCTTATATCAAGAGATAATTTATTAGAGGACTCGTTTCAACTGGTAAGAACGTTAAATAGTGCATAAATATTTTAATTTTTTAAAGACAAAAAGCCAGTTTCCTGTACGCTAATGCGCGATTTCTGTATAATTTTTTTTGAAACTATGATATTCGATGGTGAATGGTACAACACTAAGTTTTATGGCTTTATCAGTGCTCATCATTTCTCAGTAGGTGAGAGTTTCTTGACTAAATTTTGATGACTAAGAGAACAACGTATAATAGTCATTCCAATTCTTATTAGAATTTTTTTCTGTTTGAACAAAGCAGATTGTTATTCAGTTATTCTGGACCTCTAATTGCGATGATAGCCTTAGTAATTAGTGATTTCAGCATGTTTGACAGAGTGATGAACGGAATACTCCCCCCCCATATTTTAACGTAGTGTCTCATAAGAGAAGATTAGGTAATTCCGTTTAAAAATTCTAAATAAACTTAACTTATCACTTCTAATTACAGTATCAAATCATTAACCAGAGGAAAGTAACATGAAAACTAAACTTCAAATAAAACAAAAGAATTTTAGAATCCCGTCATATGTTATGATACAACCACAATAACAGAAACATATCAATGTAGCAAGACGCCCGTTGATTGAAGTTGAAAACTGTTTAACTCTTTAAATAATTCGAAACTTTAAGCTTTGTATATACCATGATTTTTGTAGTTTTCTTGTTATAACTAACGTGCACATTTTGAGATCGTGATTCGCAAAATAAAATCTAGAGACAGTTTAAACATTGTCTGAAATTTCCAATTCTTATTTGAATCAGGAATTGATAAGAATTCTCTGATAAAGCTATATGAATGAGTATATCTATAGAAAAAGTTGATTTTTGCATTGAGCACCAAAAAGAACTGCACAAAAATATAAATGCTTTTTATAGATAATAACCATCTAAAGTCTATCGAGTATTCATAGCATCCTTTACATTAATATTTAATTATATTTTCCTAGTTAACTTAATTTACTTGTTAGTAACAGGTCATAATTAAATTATTTAATGTTTATTATGAACATTTTCACTTCGAACACCTTAAACTATCTTCTAACACTTTAGGTATCCCAAATGTCTCCATCTGGTTTAAGAAGACGTTTATCTATAACATTTCTACATGAAGAAGGTTTGGATTACGGTGGAGTAGCCAGGTATATGAACATTTTCGAATTGATTGTATTATGGCACTTGATATCACTATAACACTTGTCTTAAATAACTGAGTTTCTATGTAATTACATGGTAAAATTTCAAACTATTCGCATATTCTCGATTCACACGGTTATGTTGATAATTTTAGGTAATTCTGATTACTAACTAACACGAAATGGAAAAGCAGAGAACACTAAGCAGCATGTGCTACACTCCTGACTATATTAAGAGGAAACAATTTTCCTGTATGTTCTACCTTATAATGTTTTTGTAATGGTGGATGTCAGTACAATATAACCTACCACTAATAATAATCCTCATTTAGCAGGTTACGTTCTGTATAACTGTTTACTTAAACTCCGTTAATCATGTCAGTTTTTGCAGTATGTTATCACTCAGAATTCGCCACTTATTTTGTAAATCATTTCTTAAGTAACATGTTGTTCAGCCTTCTGGGGATGTTTTTATCAAATTTAGTCCTAATGTGATGAATTGGTCAACGTACACCAAGATAAAGTAATTCTGTAGAAATTGTATGTCAACCGATTTCATATAACTCACGAAACCTAGTAAGACGTATGATAAATAAAGATACTGATTGTTTTTCTTTTACTGTTCTTGTCTTATTTTTAAAAATAATCAAATCTGCTCTTGCGATCTCTTTGCATTTATTATTATTATTATTATTATCTGTCGGTTTTTTCCTTACTAAAATAACCGAAGTCATGTATACAAAGCTTTGTTTTTATTTTTGTCTCACTCATTTTGATATTCAGTATATCGTGGAAATGACAAAATTCAGAATCACTTATGTGTTTATATAACTGAATTATTGTCTTTTTGTCCAGAGAATGGTTCTATCGTCTTTCAAGAGAAATTTTAAACCCAATGTTTGGCTTGTTTGAGTATACTGGAACAGATTATGCCTTACAAGTAAATCCAGCCTCTCATGTTAATCCAAATCATATGGCGTATTTTCGATTCGTTGGACGCTTTATTGGTATGGTAAGTTGAACCTCGTACGTGTATTTTTTTAATAACTCATTACTCAGTTTTAAATCAACAGGTGAACTGAAGCGTACGCTTTAAAATAATTTAAGATGGATTGTATGATTCATTTTAAGATGTAATTAAGTGACCTCTTTTAATACCTACAGAACTTGCCCTCACTATGGAATCAACTGAAAAAATGTGTGAGAGTAGTGTTTATGTAAAATGCGAAAAAATGAATCGATGTCCTCATCCATTTCGACAAACAGATGAAGTTGTATTTTAGTGTTCATTTTGTGAAGATTTTGTTTGAATTTCGGTTGTTGTGTAATATGTTTCAAACCCTTTTCGTATTTTCAAGATTTGTTTTAGTTTTCCTATCTGACAAAACTTATCCATAACAAATAATCTATTTCAACCTTTTTTCATATTTACTCATATCTAGTTTAAATAATTTTTAATTAATGTTATGTACAAAATGCATTAACCTCTCCATTCATCATAAAATCTTAGTGTTATTTCTACAACCATATGAAATACATTCGTACTCTTCCACAGTCGTTGTCTGCTAATACTACAATTGGTTTCTTCTATACCTTACTCTATACTAATAGTAAACACGAGTAAATATAAATGTAACTACAAGCTGTATTTAATCTAATGTCTTATTTTACCTAATTGTTACCATCCAGAATTTGTGTAATCCACTAATTCAAGATCACAGGGACAGAGTTATACTGTCATGATTCCTGTTCCTAAATTATCTTTTGTCCACTGTTAAAATTTTGTCCTGTATTATACCATAAACAATTCCTCAATAAATAACAAATGAGGTTAACGTACTAATCAAGGGGTAAGGAAGAACAAAATTTTATGGGTCAGATAATAGTCCAATTGACAGATATGAAGAATCCATTTTTTGTGACACAATCCTTTCCATCCTTCTATAGACATACATTTTCCATATAAATAATTCCTCGTAAATTTGTCACTACTTGATTATGTGACCTGCAAGTTCTATTTTCGTTTTGATTGATCAATTCTAATTAAGATTCTATAATGTGTATCGGAGGGGGAATTTTCTGTTTTACTTACTACTGATAATATAATAAAATTCAAATGTCAACAACAGCGAGAACTTCATTCATAACAGTAATTGATGTTCTTGCTTTGATGAAATTTACAAAAGATGAGGAACCGTATAGAAAAAAACTGAGATTTCTAGATATTCATTTCTACGGTTGCATCTTTATGCATCCAATAAATGGGTGTGGTTTTTTGTTCTAGCTTCAAAATATTAAAGCTGAAGTGTTACGTTAGTATGGCAACGAAACACTAATCTTAACAAGTTTGTTTTTTAACTGCAACAACAAGCGATAATTCACCTCATCAAATTTGTTCATATTTAGTAATCAGTTTACGGAAGATTAACTGAGCTAAACATGCTAACTAGTTGTTCAGAACTTCGGCCTGAATATGTTCAAACTAATTTACAACTTACCACCTATAAAAATACCCTTACTTGTCGGGTTCGTTTAAATCACACGTTTCCTGTCAGATTCTTTTTCGTGTATGATTATCTGAAAATTAATAGAAAGAGTTTGGAGTATGTACTTTTTGTCCAACCTAACTTTTATTTTATCCTATGTTCGTCTAAATTTCACCAAGAGAAGAAATATCTATATACCTCTCCAATTAATATTTGTGTGTACCACATGTTTATAAAATTCTTATTGAACACTATGGGCATATGGATATCACTGTAACCGTTAGTTTTTGTATTAGGATTACGGGAAAAATTGTAACTTCGTATGTATATTACTTAGCTATTTAACTTTGAACTAACGCATGGCCAGGCTCATATTGATTTTAGTTGCTCGGTTCGGAAAATCCAAATAAATCCATATTGTATAATTAGGTAATCAAATTTTATTTATTGCAATCTGACCACTATATTTTAATGTTGGGCACTTTAAGAATATTGTCAAAAAGAAGCTCTGGATATAGGCTTTGTGCACTAGTGGGTACTTCTCAGATGAGCATTTAGGTTATCTATCTGCTTATAAATGTCCTTTGCTTCACATATCTATTTTACAAATGAATTTAGCAAATCAAATAAATTGTGTATATACGAATTTATATTAACCAGTCCTTCTCAGTATAATTCTATTCTTTAAATCTATATTTCAGGCACTTTTTCATGGTCGCTGCATTGATGGTGGGCTTACTCTTGCTTTTTATAAACAAATTTTGAAGCGGAAATTAACATTAGAAGACCTTGGCCATACGGATCACAGTTATTATCAATCGTTAATTTATGTCAGGTAAGATTGGATTTCGTTTAAAAAACAAAAGCAAGTCTGAAAACTCAATACACAAATACGTACTTTAAAAATTTCACATTGATCAGGGAGCCTTATCTACAACTCAGCTTCCTATTTTTTAACGTCACCAAAGTGTTGTTATCTCTAGCATAAAAGGGACCTGTTTTACTTAGTGTGAAATTATTTCAGTCTCAACTGACGCCTTTTATGATCTGATTACATACACAAATTAGTTGCTTGATGCTTTCTTCCTAAGGCTTTGGATGAAATAGATGTAGGCAATGTTCTTTTTAATTGCCCCCCCCCTCGTTTGTTTATTCATGAGAGTTTGAGCTTGTTGATTGGCCAATTGTTTTCTCTGTACTTTTTTCTATTCATTATTTAGAGATAATCCAGTTGATGAGTGTGATTTGGACTTGTACTTTATTGGAACCTATGATCTTTTAGGCGCTTTGCGTGAAGACGAACTTATTGAAGGTGGCAAAGATATTAAAGTGACTGAGGAAAATAAATCCGATTATATCAGGTACACAAATTTATTACCTACTAAAAGATTACGTATGTCTACTAAATTATGTATAGAAAGCTCCGGTCTCTTTTTTTTAGACAATTCTCTAGAGATTAATATTTGTTTTTTTGTATGTTTATGATTTATGTGTAATTACGAATTTCATAGAATCGCAACTAAAATCTCCATTACATGAGGCTTTTATTGTGGAACTTAAATGTTGGATACTATTTCATCCTAGTTACGACTGAAGTGCACAAAATCTGACTGAGTTCATAATAGCTTCAAGTAAAGATAGAAACTGACCAAGTCTATTGCGATAACAAAGATCCTATATTCGCACATAGTGTTGAAGGTAAATTGACTTTGATTTGTGGCGACTAATCATCATAGCTGTCATGTCGATTTGTTTACGATACACAACGATCAGTCTATTGTCTTTCGTAAGAACTTTGTTTACGTCACCTGTGGCTGTGGTTTCCAATCAAAATTTGCCTTGTGTTTACTGTTCTAATCTGACTTAAACTGAACCAATAGAGTTTAGAAGGGTTTATTGGGGATGAAGGTATTTCTTAATCTTCTTTCGACGAGTATAAAGCAATTATTTATTCCACGAATGCATTTATTAACTGATTTGATACTTCAATAAAATCATCGATAGAATGGCGTCTTCACTCGCCTCATGTTAATCAATCACATTTGATATAGTGCTTGTTACTACTTCTTACTTATAAACTTTTCGAAAATAACTGGTGAAAACTTACCAAATATCTCTCTTAAGTAATCAGTAGCGAACTATTCCATAATGATATGCAATTGGCAGTAATTACTCTCACATTTTCAACACGACCTTAGCTACTGCCTTGACGTGGTTGTCGAGCTTATCTATTGGGATGATCCGACCGAGCTATATTGCCTAGGACGCTTGCTCCTTTATATCGTACCATGCTAGGCAGGTTGGTTGGAGAATGGGACGCCTGAAAGGTCCGGGGACGGAGTAGTACTGGTGACTGTCCAGGGGTGTGTTCACTGCCTAGCACTCTGTTGTGTTCTTCCTTAAGACCGTAAGGGGATGGTCTATGAAATTAGAAGGCATTTGTAGGCTGCAAGTTTCTAATCATAGGTGTCTTCGATGCTTTTTCGTTTGCGTTTCCTGGAAAGACCGAATGAGCGATGTTGAAATTAGGTATGGAGTACTTGGCAAACGTGCTAAATCGAGTGGTAAGACAGTGAATCTTCTTTGATCCATATGTTTCGGACATATGTTAAATAAAGTTAACCACCACCTACCTCAATCAGCGATGCTTACTTGTGCAGACGGAGATTAAAAGAAAGGTAGGGGAGGACAAACCGAAATGTGGCATCAGTCCATGAAATTATCGATTGTTGATTTGAACCATGTTGAAAAGTGAAAACTACCTGTTTGGAGTCCGTGTGATAACGGCCATCAGTGGTTGAACACTGAGTAATATGACTGAGAATCGCTCACTATGGCCCAGATTTATTCACTCTTCATCTCCTCGATCTTGAATTCCAGTATCTTTTCATGTCTGTCTTTTCAAACCGTTTTCTCAATATCTGTTTATCATTGCCACCACATTATTCCGATCTCTTTTGTTATTCTCGTCTTGTCGTGGTAATCAGGTATAACAACTTTAACAGACGCGAATCTGTGCCATGCTTTCTGTTGATCATCTCTGTCCGCCAAAGTTTTTAATAAGATTGGCTGTTTGAATGGAACAACAAAATTATTGTGTAACCTTCACACAATAATTAATATTTGTCAGTAATTTCGCGTAATTATTTAAGTCCCTTGTCTACTTGTAAAAAATCTTTTGTGATGTGAAAAGTCGTTTTATATAGAATTAAGTTACTATAGTTCATAAAGTACTGATTAATTTCACTTAAAAAGTATTCTACTTAGCCCAGTTATATGTAAAGAGTAAATTCGTGAGTAGAATAATCGACTAAGGTCACCGCAGTGAATATACTTGACAAATATTCTTGTAGTTCTTATGTCTTGAGAGCAAGCGACGACGTTCATCTGCCGACCCCTCATAAATATGATTAATCATATGGATGAAGATTTTTATATGCTTAACTATGTCTCATTGATTTAGGCACTTTATTTTCAAATTGAAAAGTAATAAAAGTCATTTGTCTGCAGATAATAAATGTGTCTCACACCATAACTCTTAGTACATCAGCTTCTACGTGATTACGAAATGTTCTGCTCTAACATTTGTCAAACATTCTTCGGTAAATATTTAATAATTTTGATGATGTCTAACCGAAAACTATCTACGCATAATTTTAGACTGATGGTTGATTGGCGATTCAACAGAGGAGTAAAAAAACAAACAGAAGAAATTCACAAAGGTATTTTTGAAGTACTAAATCCCGAGTGGCTGGAATTATTCGATGAGCGTGAACTTGAAGTAGGTCTTTTGAGAAAGTTCGAATGACTTCAAATGTTCTACTGTACTATATCTAGTATTGTCGTAATTCTCTGTGCTGAGTATACATCCCATAATTAACCTATATTTGATATTCTCGCACATATGTTTCTTCAGCATTTTAGCTTGATTAATAGTGTTTTAGACTTCACCTCAGTAAATTTTCAGGGCTTGATTTATGAAGCTGGCAGTAATTATGTTTGGCGAGTGATAATAACTAACTGAAGTAACATAATGAAATGAAAGTTTAACGTTCACACCATTAAACCTCAGATGTGAAAAAAGTTTTTATTCCCACGACATGGTACACAAAATCGACTAGATAAACTGCAAAAAATGTACAATCTCAGTTTCCTCTCCGCCATCTACTGTTATACATTCTTATGTTATTATAGGTTGACTAATTTGTTTGCTTTCTTCACAATAAATTACATACACTACAGTATTACAATCAAATTCAACCTTAAAAATCGATCATCTCAATGTTGGGTGTTGGCAGACGTTACACGTCAACATGAGTATAACTCTTGTTAATCAAACTAATCACTTTTATGTTTGTATGTGTGTCTAAAAATCTATCCGTTTCCACTACCTTCTGTTTCATATACAGAAATTATTATTTATCTCGACCGTTTTTCATGATTGCACGATTAAAATGTGTTATTTATAGACCCTGTATGGATTATTGATTCATTAGCTTTCTTTTGTTCTCTGTATATTATTTCTTATTGTTGTTCGCTTTGTTCACTTATTGCCTTCTCGTTAATTAATTCATATGCTGTATGTGTATTATTAACTAGTACTTTTTCTTTCAAAATAATATGTTGGTCAATCCAATAACTAAATTTTCTATTAGTTGTAAAGATTAGTATTTCAATGTCTATTATTTGGACTGTAAAGGACAATTAGTACAAATAAACATTAAAATAAATATGTGCCACACAAATAAGTGAGTTAAATTGTGAATAGATAGATCAAGGAATGTGAATATGATAAAAAAAAAGCAATTAAATCAGATGAAATTATCAAAACAAACACCACAGTAGTAGACTTAATAACTATCAATGGTCGTAAAAAAACACTGGCCATAAATAATCACACTCATACCTCTGACAGCACCTTGTTCACCATCAAACCCCTTCATTACTTCTTAATATTTCTCCAGTCTTCACTTTCAACACTTCTCGTGTATTTTTATCACTACTACTACTATCAGGTTAACCATAAAGTGATATCCGATTCGAAACAACCTGGTATAGATGTTCAAACAGCAACGAGATTTGATAGTAACTTGAACCAAATTTTTAGAAGTACTAGTGGATTCAAGCAGTGTGTACTGAATAGATAGAGGCGTGAGCACTAACCCTGACAGGCTCAAAGAATAATTGGTAGCCAAGGCACCTTGAGCATAGACTGACAAATAGCTTGTGCAATGATTATGAGCTGTAAAAGTCCATGAAAGAAGAGATTGAAAAAGGAGCATCAAGGAAGCAGGTATTAGAAAGGCAGGTGGTGGTGAACTATATTATCCATTCTCAATCTAGGAGATTAGATAGATAGCGAAAATACTAGGGAAGAATTCAACTGACCTCCGGTTAGCTGCCCTTCAGTTATACTCTATATCTAACTCTTATTGAAGCTGAAAGGATAATAGATTACAGAAAATGAAGTAAGTTAACAGGCCTTGATGGTTTAACTCTGTAGATAGTGGTCCAGTTTTACTAGTTAAATTGATTGAGATATTGGCCAGAGTTTGGGAACTGGATGTAATCCAATCTGACTGGTCTCGACGACTGATCGTTGTCGTCCATAAAAAAATGAAATCCCTTTTGTGACAACCACAAAACGATCGATTTGACGAACATAGTGTCTGAAGTACTAGCCTTTCTAAATATTCGACTCTCAAATAAAGCTTGTGAAGACCAATCTTGGGAAATCAGGCTGGTTTCAGACATGGACGCGAGTGTGCTGACCGAATATTCGCCCTTCGTCAAGTACTGAAATATAGATATACTTTCTAACATTTGACTGTTGTTGTATTCCTTGTTCTTGAGGCAGCATTCGATCCTTTTGATAGACACACTTTACGGAGGTATCTGGTATTGAAAGATGCATCTTAGTATTGCTCATTTGTTAGTGTCAATATGCTTGAGCAATCCTTTGAAGAAGTCTATAATGAAATAATAGTGTTGAACAGCCATCCTCTGTTACTAATCGCTTTGTTTTACTCTGTTAAAGTAAAAGCAAGCGACTTATTTTAATAGTTCACTATTACTTAAAAGTTTTAGCTCACCATCGTACAATTATTTCTGACCGCTGTTTATCGTTCTCTTCTTTTTATTTTGAAGCTCCTATTATCCGGTATGCCAGAGATCGATGTTGACGATTGGGAAAAGAATACGGTCTACATAAAGTACACACGATCAAGTAAACAGATTATTTGGTTTTGGAAGGTAAACAAATGTGCCAACTTTCCATCTGTCTGTGTTTATGTGTGTGTGCCCGTACCATAACATATATTACATTTCATTTCATGATATTCATTATACTAAAGGATAGCTATATAAGTAGAATTTGATACTTTACACTGAGTGGTATCTACTAATTAATTTTAGCCTATATCATGGGAACTACTTTGTAAGAAATTAATCCTTCTGTTAATTATACATTCACGAATGTACATTTATGAAGATGAGTTAGTCTAAAAAGAAATTTTTCTGCACTGCAACGTTCACCTTTCTTGTCTTATGACGTATTCTGTTGTCGATGAAAACCAGAATCTTTTTCTCAGGAAAAATCAAGGATATTTACATAATTCCTTTACAGTCTTTTGTTGTGATCCTACTAAAATCAATCTGAGCTATGTTCATTTATTAATTTATTTAATCTTTGTTGATCCGTCAAACTTGTCAATTATTGCGTAAATTGCAGAAAGCCGTTTACCAACTAAATGAATTGAGTATCAAAAACATCATTTTATTATCATAACATTTGTACTTAAATCGTTTTAAGCTATATACATAGAGCTGATAGCTCCAAATTCATTCTCGTTGTTTAAAAAATGTTGTAGACATGCTTTAAGACCGGACTTATTACTTTATACTTCTCATTGTTTAGGTTTATTGATATTCTTACATTATCACACATGTTTCTGAATTATTGTTAATGTCTTCACAAAAGATTTTATCTGAACAAATGCACTGAATTTCTGTGTGTTTCCTTCCCCAATCGACAACTCTATTCACTATAGTAGTAGTTATATCATCCGAGAAAGTAATTTTAGCTCCTATGTTCATCTACTTACTAACTGATTGATTTCTAAGGATCGACGTTTCATGCCTAGTAAATTCATATCTATTTCTCATGAATTTGTAACGTTAACCTTTATGATACTTGACCGAGGCATTGTATTGAACAAATTTGTGTTAATTTGACCTTAGATAGACGTTTCATCATAAATCTATTTGTATTAGTAGTATGTTCATATCGTTTCAAATCATGTTATGATTGTAGTGAAATTTAATGGAATAGAGTGACTGATGATTTTTCCTAATATTCCGAAGCAATAATTTCCGGTGTCCTTGAAAAGAATCGCGGTTAAACTTAACAACCATTTGTTTGATTTTTTAAAAAGATAGATGTGTATCGAAAATCAAGTCCCAAACTTGTTTAGCTTTTTTCTGACAAGCTATTTTTCTAATCACAATTTATTTGTACTCTTGGATATTTTGTTCATGGCTATTCTATCTATTCTTTCCTCTGAATTGTTTTATTTCATGAAGTTGATTCGAAAACTTGATAATGAACATCGTGCTCGTCTTCTACAATTCGTCACAGGTACCTGTCATTTACCATTAGGAGGCTTCTCTGAATTAACTGGTGAGTAGTAACTTCCGCAATATATCGACCGAATAATTTCTCTCTTGTAATTAATGTGAAGTGTGTAAATTTTTCACCGGATTTTTAAAATATCAATCACTAACAATGGTTAAAGTTGAATCAATATTTGGCATACAACTTTGTGACTAATTGCATTTATTTAGTTTCAATTTAATATATTTATTATTAGTTATTGAACTAAAAGTCACTTATAGTCATGATGTTGAGTGCTTTTTTATTTTGTCCGATTAAATATATGATTAATATTTTTATCTACTGAACTTGCACTGGAAGAACTTACAGAAATCGATTATTTCAAGTGATAATTGACTGAAGTATGGGTTGGATTCTTCTCATTTGTTAATCATGTATTAATTTTAATTCGTGAGTTTAAGGGTAATAACACTTTATGCAGTGCATTAAATGAGTTAACCAAAGCAGATCACACTAAAAACTCCAAATGGTTAATCAAAGAATTTGCACCGTTGCAGTCTATGATTTGTAGTGAGTGTTTAGCTTTGTAGTCAGAATATTTTTCAGTAGTAATTGTAATACCAATAAATACACTTGATTGTCATTAATTTCTTTTCCTTTTTAGGCAGTGGTGGTCGTCAGTTATTTTGTATAGAGCGTACAGGCGATGAACAATGGCTACCACGTAGTCACACATGCTTCAACCGGTTAGATTTACCGCCATACAATTCGTACGATCAATTGTGCGAAAAACTGCAAATGGCAATTGAAGAAACTAAGGGATTTGGGCAAGAATAAATCTAACCTCCTCTATGACTTTCCCTTAAAAACACTTAAATTATAATGTTATTTTTATTGTGTATATTCCAGTAATCATCTATCACAGTAATGATTGATGAGAAACGTTTTGTGGAGGTTAGGGTAGGCGGTGAAGTGGTAAAATCAGTGGTATACTGTGTTTTGAATAAACTGTGATCTATTACCAATTAGTAATCTTTTTTTAGTATGTAATTTCCGTTTTCTCTTTTCGATTTCCATTATTATTATTATTATTATTGTCTCTGGGTAATGAAAATTATTTTATTAAATATTTTTTTCTAAATTTTGTTTTACTGATTTTGTCTTCAATTTACATACGATACTCTCTACATATGTGTACCCAAAGGTATGTTTTGCTTTTATGCTAAATTAATCAAACAAATTATGTTCGTTTGTTTGCGAACAAAACGTGTCAGATGATATGGCTCTCGTTACTTTCCCAGTTGTCAATGAATTGACCTTATCATTGACTGACTTAATTAGACTAAAAACACAATGCATCAATAAAAACGAATGATATTGGACTTCTTAAACCTTTGGATAAAATTTACATCAATAAGTTTATAAGGCATTTGAAATTTTGAGACGCTGAAGAGAACTTGCAACTTAAATGAATACTTTTGGTAGTTATTTCATCTCATGTCATCCAGAATAATATTGATTTGTAATTAAACCATTTGGATCAGAGAACGCGACACTATCAAAAGCTTATCGTTTATGTCAATATGAACACGATTAGGATTAAATTGAAACATCCACCAGTACTAAGATTCTAAATTAGATAAACGTGAAAACAATAAGTAATTTATGGCATTTAATAGTGTAATTTTTTGCAGTTACTTCAGAAGTGTATGCCCGTAATGTTTGTAACCTTAAAGTATAACCCGAAAAACTTTCCTTAGCTTACTTTGATATACTCTCAAAATTGCTGGTGTCCATAGCATATTCATATGTCATTCCTTCAGCGATCAGAATTTCACGTGGACTACTGGCCTAGAGTTAGTGCTTTTCAACTTTCTTAAAGGAATATTCTCTCCACTAATACCATTCCAGTCTCAAACGTCCGCTCATCTTTCTTAAGGAACTCCTACATCACGTTACCTGAGTAAATGTGTTTCCCATCTCAGAGGATAAAAGGTTTATTTTATATGAAAGTATGTTAAATAACAAAGAAATTGAAATATTTCTACTTCGACCTAACCAGTAGAATTTACATTTTTTAATCTTAGCCCTCGACGTGTTAGCGCATCATACACTCGAACTCATCAGATTGAGCCCAGATATTTTAAAACTCTGAAAACGCGTCTTCGGTGTGAATTGTACATCACGGACTCTTATTCGCAACTTCTTGAAATACTCCCAATTCACTCTCCAGATCTTGATCCATAAATTACATTCCATTAGCACTTACCTGTAGACCATAAATTATCAGTTTGGAACTAAGCGCCGAAACGCTACTAATCTACCGGGTTTTTATAACAGTTGTTCATATGCTTCTAGACTGGAAGGTTCAACTAATGTAAAAAATATCTGTGATGATGAATAATATTTATTTGTTACCTTTACCTAATTTGTAACTCATATCACCCGGGATATAGTCTCAGATGAGTTCTACCGCTAAATGAATGAATTCAGACAAGCCCTTTCATCGTAAAGCTAGTTGATAACTTAGATGTTCAGGTTAGCAGTTAGGATACAAGAAAATCATTCGAATGTCCAGTGTTGACTGGTAGATCACAAATAGCAATGGCTGTATTCTGTATAATTTTGGAGTTCCAAATCTATTTTTACTCGATGTCATCTTACTCTTTTGTCATCCCCAATATGCCGCACAAAGTTTTCCTTCGTTAACTCAGGCCTGGACGTAACTAATATGGTCAATAACTGGTAGTATAATTAAATAACGAACTCCTTTCTGTCAATCCTCTTGTATATCACAAATTAATCTTCGTTTCGATGGTTAACAGATTCTCTGCCCTAAATGGTTGATTTATACAAATCGTCTATTGTTACCTCTGCAGTCGAATATCAAATAGAGATAGGTTTAGGATTATCTAATAAACCATCAAAAACTCATAGATGAAGGGAAAATTGGCTTTCTAATTTACTAAACATTAAACTTACAAACACTAATTTTTATGAGCTAGAAACATAATTGACAATCTTCAGGATCATCTAGAACATTGGGTAGAGCACTTCAATAGTCAATCTACGTGGGGTATCACCATACAATTGTCCCGTTCTCTTTCATTACCTATCCGCCTAAAGCATAGGGGTTTCTGATGGAAATCCGAATGCTCAATCACTGCAAATCAATCTTCAATGTATTACTCACATCTCCACCGTCTGCCAAATACTTGGCCCCCATCACATGTACGAATAGTTGTGTTTCTTGACATGAGTGCTACTTTCATTTCACTGGAGAGAATACTGTAGAATCGTAGATTTGAGATTGATGTATATGATATGCTTACAGACATCTTAAAAACCTAAACAATTAGTGGAATTTTATATATCCAGATTATAGACTTCTGTGGGCTACTTTTGCGGATGCTTCGATACTATCTTATAGGAAATGCTCGAGCGAGGCAAATAATAAAACCAGATTTTCATAACTAGATTTCCACCTCTATACAAGTAATACATTGCTCCGTGATGTATTATAATCCCTCTATAAATTCAGTAGAATTATTTCATCTTATCTAGCGCAATCTTAATCTCATCATAAGGAAATATTTTTTTAATTTCTATAGCAATACGTTCTATTTTCTTTGGGCTGAAACTAATAAATTCATCTTTAGAGTTGAGCTACTTAAATAAATTGTTAGTAGCATGATATGACAGGCAATACGTTGTTGCTGTGTATAAAATGTGATTAGATTTTAAGTATTAAGACTCCATTGTAATTATCTCACATGATTTTGTTGAAAGAAAAGTAAAATCTGGAGGTGAGCTTTGGGCTAACCTCTCGAGTTTTTGTGAAATTATATGGCTACAAATGTATGCACGATGCCTTGCTTCATGTAATTCATGATGCTTTCTTAATCTATTGAAGCTGATGGTCTTGTTGAGACTCCAGTTTGTTCCATAGATTTTTTCTTAAGAAAGTGTTAAAATTTCCCTCTATATTCTTATTTACTTACTTAACCCTGGATTAACCCGTTATATAATCGGATTTATCTACTGAATTCACAAACCTCAATTGTGTCTCTAACATAAATGCAAATATTTTTTATGATAGTCAATACAGAAATTAGAGACATTTTGTCTTACAATATTTCTATAAATTGTTTCATACTTGTTGAGCAGTCACAAAGTTCTCTTCAAGTTTCCTGTAAAACAACAATCAACTTGACAGTATTACTCACATTTACTAATACTAAATAGTACGATGTTCACATATAGATTTAGTATATACATAAGCCTACCACCTTTATTGGAACACAGGCTGCCGACTAAGGATCTCCAACTAATTCTTTCCTGATTTATCCTTAGCACTTGTTGCCAAGTGGTCTTCACTTGGAATTTATTTGTGAGCTGTCCTCCTTGTTACACTGCAATTCAGTCCCTCGTAACATTTCCATATAATGAAGATATTTCCATGTGCTCCATAGTATATCAGAAGTCTCTATAAGGTTCTGTATCCACTCCGTTGAATGCCTTTTCATCATCATCAACGATGACTTCCATCTAGTTGAATGTGCAAATGGTTTGCAGTTTCACAGTTTGGTTATTTCATGATTAGTCGTTATGAAGATCAGTATCTTGGTATCGAAGTGGTGTCTACTGAATTTTCCATTCACTCGAGCAACACTATTGAAAACGTTTTCTGATACTGACAGTATTGAGAAGCCTAGACAGTTAAAACACTTGCTCAAATCTCCTTGCTTCCGTATGTTATTGAAGTATCCTTCCTTCCAGTCTGTCGGTATTTATTCTTCCTCCAAAATCCTTCTCATCAGGAGAACATGGAACATGATTGTGACTGTCTGTATGTCTGAATTGAGTGCTTTAGTTGGTATTCAGTCTGGTCCTACTGTCTCGCCATTCATGATCCATTTGATGTCTAATTTGATCTCCTCGATTATCAGTGCAGCAACATGTATATTCAGGTCCGAGTGTTTTGCTGATCTGATATGTGGTAGTTTTAGTGAAGCTAGTCTATTGAAGAGCTGCTGGAAGTGTTCTACCCACCAGTTGCACTATCCGTGGTCCTCAGTGATTGGATTCCCTTGTTCGTCCCTATCTACACCCTTTGATTTACCATACTTTCATGTTTGCCTCTTATCCTCGTAAACAATTCTCTCATATCTCGTTCTCCTGCAGCTTGTTGCACTGTCTCTGTCAGATATTCTGCATATTTCAGCTTGTCAGCCCTAACTTTCTCCTCCACTAGCTCGTTTGCTTCCATAAATTCATTCATCCTGTGGCTTAAACTACTGGGTTGTTGTTTGCCTGTTGTTGACTACTGTCTTCTTGCTTTCCTCTCTTCAATCGTGTCCGAGTTACCTATACAGGTCCATTCGTTATGGTGGTAGTGGTGGTGGTGATTGTAGGGGCTCAACACCTACTCACGTATCGAAGTTGTTTGTTTCATGACTCGCCGGTTGCTCTCCATAGTGTTTTCGTCTTCCTCACAATGGTTCTTGTGTGACTTGGAACACGTTGCCATCAGCTATCTTGAATTCTCAGAGGTTGTTACCATCTCGAAGAAGGACTTTATTAGTCTTTTGTAGTTCTGTTTGTTCAACTACCAAATGCTTGTTTAGCTTCAGTTATCGGTCGGTCAACATCAGGTGCTGATCTGAAGCTCCATCAAATCGTACGGGTCATCTGAAATTTTCACTTGTCAACATGTAGTCAGTTTAACTTTCCGTAGTGTGGAAACCCATAGGTGGAACCGATGTAGTTTTATCTATGCATTGTGGGATAAAGTTCTACAGCCTGTGACCATGTTGTGGGAATCACACCAATCAGCCAGTCTCTCACTATTCTCTTTTCTTTCTCCCAGTTCACGTCACTATAGAATGTGTTCATACCCGATGTTATCTATCCTGATTTTGATGTTGGTGTATCCTATCGGGATGGTCATGTATTTTGCATGACTTTTGTCTAGGATGTACTTGTAGTCTCTCATGGTGTTGTTGTATATCATCTTCTCTGCCATCACTGGTAGGCGTGTAGAACTGGATGACATATTGATCCCAACTATTCTACTTTACTTTTGCTTGGGGTCGACAGTAACTCAAAAAGAGCCACAAATGATGTCCACTTGCTCCTTATCACTTTACTATTAACTGTTTGATAATGTATTCTAGTATGACAGTTTATATACTCCGCGTTGGAATTCTACCAAGATTTTTCCTTAAGCAATAAATGAATATTTTACTGATAGTTTATCAATTTTCATCACCAATTGAAATCATATACAGAATGAATTTCATTAAGAATTCTTAAGTTTCATTAGTTTGGGTTAATAGATCAAATTCATTTTGAATATAAT